TAAAGATTTCTCATTGTAGATGTTAATCAACTTAATGGAATCAAGTTGTTTTGATTTATCCATAACATCTAGAATGAGAAGATCAGAACTGTTACACAGATCAGTTCTAAGACAGATTTCAAATCTTGAATTCTTTCTCACAAAGAGAGCAACTCTAGGTCTCACAGTTCTCTTTTCTGAAAGAATGCAATCATAAGCACTGTGGGAAACAGTGTAGCTGTAGTCTTTACTGATTCATGGTTCTTGAAACAATACATAATCAGTCTGAGTTGAGCAAGCAATATTCAAACAAGTGTGCATTGAGATGTCTTTTCTGCCAACATTATTTTGCAGAAATGTTATCTGAGAAGAGTGTTGTGTTTCTAACATTTAGAAATAGTGGTGGGAACAACTCTCTTTCTAATACTCATCTGAGCTAATTCATCTTCAGAATCAGTCTCATGTATTCTTTTGGCAATTGATCTGGATTTTGCATTTGTAACAGTTTGAAAGTCAGATTCAGATTCAGAATCAGTCATTCTTGTATCTGTTGTTTGAGTCTCAGTTGTTTTTCTCCAAGCAAAGGAAGAAGAAGAAGAAGAAGAAGAAGAAGTTGACTTGACAGCTGATTTTCTGTAGAAACAGCAGACATGACTGTTTGCAACATGATTTTCACCACAATTTGCACACTTGATTTCAGTATGATCACACACTTTGCCAATCATATCACAAGTCTCACATTTATGTGACTGTGTGCTGTGATTCTTTGCACACAATCCACACCTGGTTTCTCTTCTGCAGTTTAGAGAGATGTGACCATAGAGTTGACAGTTAAAACACTGAATTGTTGTTTTATATCTTGATTGTGACTGAGCTTTTTTAAATGAAACAACTTGCATTGTCTAATCAGCAATGTTAACTGATTTCAGAGTCTTGACAAGTTCTGTTGATTTCACATGAAAGATAGCTGAAGCATGCTTTTTATTGACTCTGTTTTCTGCTGAAGAGAGTCATTGAGAAAGTCTTTTTAAAGAAATTGAATTGAAAGTTTCAAATTCTTCTTTTAGAAGATCAAAACCATTGTCATTGTTGAAAATCTCAGTAGAAATTTTATGAACAACAAATACTCCTCAATGTTCATCTTTATGATATTTTGACTGAGAAAAATCAAAATCACAGTCAGTCAATACATCAGAAAGAGCAGATTGCCAGATTTTATCATGTTCTTGAAGAAATTCTGCAGAAAATTGATCTGTTGTGATCAGAATTACTGAAAGTCCCTTAAAAGATTTGACAACTGAGGAGACCACTGATTTTTCAGTAATTTTGACATTTACAAAGGCATCATTGATTCTGTTTCTGATAAAGTAGACTTTATTTTGAATTCTTTCAGCAATTTCAGAATTGACTCTAAAAATCAGTCTGTTTTCTCTTGGGTTTCTCAAATCAGACTTTGATTTCCCAGTCTCAGAAGTACAAGTTGAAGAGGAAGAGACTGTTGACTGTTTTTGTAGATTTTGCTTAACAGCTTCAGAGTAACTGAATTTACATCCAGCACTTGATTTCTCTGAAACTGTATTCACAGTCACAGAAGGCAGAGAAGACACAGAAGAGATGGAATTTGAAGAAGAAACTGAAGATTCTGAACTTCTAGACAGACTTTTCAACTTTTTGAGTCTCTTTTCCAAAAGATTCAGCTTGTCATTGTCATTTTCAAACTGAAAACAGGAAATATCTTTTTCCTTTTGAAAGAAGAGAATCCTTTGAAGACTGAGAATGCAAGAGTTCAATTCTTTTTGAACAAGAACATGATTTTCTTTCTGACATTCTTGTGCAAGAACTTTGAGAACTGATTTAAGTTCTTGTTTAGAATTCAGAGAGAGAGAAGTGGAGATAGAGGACATTTTGATTTATTTCAGTTGGGAACTTATCTAGAGAGATTTTTTTCTCCCAGAATAGAAATCTCTCAAAAACTAATCCCAGTTTTTCAAGAGAACAGAGAAACTAAGACTAAGTTTTGGCAGAAATCAGTCAAGAAAAAGCCAAAGTTTTCAAAATTCTCTGAACAAAAATAGCAGTAATAGATGGCGCATTCCTGAACTATTAGAGCAGTTTATTTTAAGATTACTCTTGAACTGGAAGGAATGGTGCAAGATAACAAAAGAAAACTTATGGAGCCAGATGAGTAGGTGTACTTGAATAAGAGAATCCACTAACAATTTTTCAAGAGAATTGTCAAACTGAAAGTCTTTTTGGTAGGAAAGACTTAAGTAAACCACTTGTAATCTCAGTTCAATATATCAACTAGTCTCACACTTCAAGAGTGTAACTTTAGTTCCTATATCTTATGTTGATCACAGAAAATGAATGACTTATGTGCTGTTCCTGTCTATCTGAAAAGTTAAGTTCAGGAAAAAACCTCTTCTTGTCTTTTTGAAGAGTGACAAGCAACTTTATCAGAATCTCAGAACCAATATCTTAAGATTCAAGATAACTCAGTTCTTTTTCAATCTCAGATTACAATTCTAATTCTTCTTTGCAAGACACTAATGTATCTCAAGACAAAGTCAAATTCCAACTGCAGAAGAACTGGAAGAAACTGTTATGATATGCAAGTAAAAAGCCTTCTTCTTTGCTAAAAAATCAACAAGCCTAGTATGATTATTCTAACTATAAAAGAGCAATTTTAACCATCACTAGCTGATGAATGCAGAGATCAGTGACTGGGAGAGTCTATGTCTTTGGAATAAATAAGAAAAAGAGAAGAGTTGTTTTGTTTAAGTTGTGATTGAACTTATCTTTGCTGGCCCCAACTGACAAATGGTTTCAACTTTTTGGAAGTGAAAATCAGGGCCAGAGGAAATTGATAGAATATCAGAGAGATAGAGAATTGATCAGAGAATCAGAGATATCAAATCAATTTTGAAGAGATTTTGTTTTGACTGAGTTGTGGTTGAATTTATCTTTGCTGACCCCAACTGGCAAATGGTTTTGACTTTTCAGAAGTGAAAATCAGGGCCAGAGAAAATCAATAGAATATCAGAGAGGTAGAGAATTGATCAGAGAATCAGAGATATTAAATCAATTTTGAATAGATCTTGTTTTGACTGAGCTGTGGTTGAATTTATCTTTGCTGACCCCAACTGGCAAATGGTTTTGACTTTTCAGAAGTGAAAATCGGGGCCGCAGAAAATTGATAGGATATCAGGGAGATAGAGAATTGATCAGAGAATCAGAAATATTCAACTGAATTTAAAAAGATTTTGTTTTGGCTGAGTTGTGATTAAATTTCTATGTTCTGCTGGAATTTTGACTGTGTTCTGCTGTTGTACCACTTTGATGGGGTATAATAGAGTTTGGTGGAATAATTATCTAAGTTCAGACTCCAATTCAGCTTTGGTGTTGCTGATTAAGACTTAGTAAGCCAGGAACATAGAAACTTTTCACTGTGAAAGACTGATGGAGAGCCACCAAAACTGAGTGAATTCTTAATCAGTTTGAGAATGCAAGTATTTTCCTCTTGGGTATAGATTCTTTAACACAAAAGAAATCAATTTCCAGCATTTCAGAACTGTAGTGGAGGTGATTGTGTTGTGGTGACCAGACAAAGTGCCTGAGTAGCCAAAACTGGCAATTCAGTCTTTGGTGTGAGATTTCCCATCCATCACAGTGAATTGCTGGGTGAAAATGAAGAGAATAACTAAATAAAACAAGAGCTTTCCAATGAATATATTTTCATTAAATTTAACTTAGAATTGATGGTGTTCCATGATATCAGAGCTGGAGAAAATTGATTGAATATCAGAAAGATAGAGAATTGATCAGAGAATAGAAAATATTCAACTGAATTTAAAAAGATCTTGTTTTGACTGAGTTGTGATTAAATTTCTATGTTCTGCTGGAATTTTGACTGTGTTCTGCAGTTGTACCACTTTGATGAAGTATAATAGAGTTTGATGGAATAATTATGTAAGTTCAGACTTCAATTCAGCTTTGATGTTGTTGATTAAGACTTAGTAAGCCAGAAACATGAAAACTTTTCACTGTGAGAGACTGATGAAGAGCCACCAAAACTGAGTGAATTTTTAATCAGTTTGAGAACATAAGTATTTTTCTCTTAAGTATAGATTCTTTGACATAAATGCAATCAATTTTCAATGTTTCAGAACTGTAGTGGAGATGATTATGTTGTGATGATCAGACAAAGCATCAGAATAGTCAAAACTGACAACTCAGTCTTTGATGTGAGATTTTCCATTCATCACAGTGAATTGCTGAACAAAAATGAAGAGAATAACTAAGTGAAACAAGAGCTTTTCAATGAATCTATTTTCATTAAATTTGACTTAGAATTGATGATGACAAATTTAGATGCATCTGTTTTCACTTTGATTTTCTTCTTGAAATTAAAGTGATATATCATCACTTGCTTTGTAAATGTCTTCTTTAAGTCATAGAAGAACTTATAAGTCTCTTCTGTAAGAAAGCTGAATGAACTGCTCACTTTCTCACTTCTTCTTCTTTTCTTTCTGAATTGCTTCTTTTCTGACTTTCTGCTTGTTAGCATGCTTGGCTGAAAGATCATTCTTCACTGTATTATGAAAGAACTCTTCATTTTCTCAAGTTTTCAGTCAGTATTGCAACTGTTTTGATGATTCTGATCTCAGTGAATTCTTTTCATGAAAGTTTCATACTTTGTACAGTGGTCTCATTTATTAGGAATGAGACCAGATTCAATATTATAGACTCCTAGTCACTTGATTATCACGTGTTCCTGCGTTGTCGGTATCAAGGACTGAGCAGTGAACGAACTGAGTGAGCTATGCTTGTACAGTAACTCCATACTTTTCCTTTCTTAAGTCGGCAAATAGCTAAATCAAAGATCTACTTTCTCATCTGTTTTTAGATGCCATGCATACAGAGCATTGGCCTACCATCTCATCGGCCTGTTTCCTAACACATTAATTTTACCATACATTCTGCCAGAACTCTTTCCTTTTCTCGCACTCTATTCGCCCCAAATGAGGTTACCGGGGATTTACCCACTCCCTCTGCATGAAGCATACTCATCATCCCGTGGCACCATTGGACCAATTCCGAATCGAAAGAGGACCAGGCAACTATTCCAAGGTCGTACATCTAATCCCACCACCAAAAATCGCCTAAAACTCGATCACGGTACTCTGTGGCGACATAGAACGGAGCACTCATATAGGGATTTGTCCAAGCAACTAGCAGAATACCCAATGGTGTCTGCAGCTGATTTACGGTCGAGAGTAGAGCGCCCCCGGCGTGTGAAAATGTTGACAAGAGATTTCATCGAAGGTGTGATGTCCTTGACCGTGTCCATGAAGATACCTGTTTTGATCACATGCTGTAGATAGTCTTTATAATCCGAATTACGGCTATTTCTCGAAACAGGCTATCATTTTCAGTCTGAGAGAACCCTTCAACTTCAACAATATCGAGGATAGCTCAACATTTAACCGAATGCTTGATGACAGATACGCTCAATTTGAGGACAGGCTAGATAGCATAATGCCTGACGAATCCCGCCAGCTTTGGCATACACCAACGGAACTTTTTCGTCCATATTATGGCGAAGCCATTGCCCGTTATCTGGTCGCTAATTATAGACTCACGATGTTTCCCTACCATGATTTGATAATATACGAAATAGGTGCTGGTAACGGCACTCTAATGCTTAATATTCTGGATTATATCAGGGAGATCGATGTCGAAGTTTATCAACGAACCAAGTTTAAGATAATTGAAATATCGTCGAATCTCGTCAAAACACAGAACTCAACTCTCGGTGGGTCTATTCACCGACATAGCCATGTGGACCATGTTGAAGTCATAAATCGCTCTATTTTTGATTGGAATACATACATACATTCTCCTTGCTTCTTCCTAGCCCTTGAGGTTTTCGATAATTTCGGACATGATAAAATCCGCTATGATATGGAGACAGGACACCCCCGCCAGGGCTGTGTTTTAGTAGACGACGATGGTGAATTCCATGAATATTATGTCTCTACTTTAGACCCCTCCGCTGCTCGATATCTTCGCGTTAGAGAAGCGGCTTCCCGTCGCCCTTTTCTCACCCCATTGGGCGTTCGTTTATGGCGCAGAGCCTGCGCTTCCATCCCATTTGCCCCGAATATGACTTCACCGGAATACATACCGACCAAGCTAATGGAATTTTTCGATATCTTGCACAACTACTTCCCTGGCCATCGCCTTATCGCTAGTGATTTCGATAGCCTCCCAGATGCGGTACCTGGGCATAACGCTCCTGTCGTACAGACACGATATCAAAGAAAGACAATCCAAGTCTCCACTCCTTTTGTACGAATATCTCAGTCACTTGACTATACATGCATACAATGTTTTCTTGGCCTGTATTTGCTAAGTTTTTTGAATAGGTTCACCAAGGCTACTTTGATATTTTCTTCCCAACAGACTTTAACGTGATGGAGGACGTATACCGTGTGATCACAGGAAAATTGACTCGTTTATCCACTCATGCTGACTTTATGAAAAGATGGGCATTTGTCGAAGACACGCAGACACGCAGCGGCGAGAATTTGCTTATTTCGTGGTATAGGAACACGAGTGTTATGGTTACTGTATAACCAGAAGCTTAATTATGTACTTGAAAATCGGCATTTTATAGTTGTCGATGCCGAACTAGCTATCCGATACTCTTTCGCCATTAGGAAAAATATTATCGAATTAACAGGCGCGCAATTCTTATTCTAGCTTTCAACTATTAAGTGCAACCCCAGCCCCATCTGAGCTCTCTTCCTTCTCCTTTTTCTCCTCAAGCAGTCCCTCACTGCCCCATTAGTCAAAATGCATAAAGGCAAACAAAAATCGCTCTGCAACACCTTCGGTATTGGCTGGCCAAACGCTAAGTTTGACGGCAAACGTGTCCCCAATACGTTATCGAGATGACTATTTTTATGTAACACTGGAGAGGTGGCTGTTGTGAACGGGGGATCATTCCTCTTAGCAATCTCAAGTGACGTCCCAGAGGGAAAGTTGTTTTTAAACTCCACCTTCCGCCGTTTCGTACGCAGTGCGGACATCGTCTCTAGATGGAGTTGGCGAGCCGCCCAAGCATCAATTACATCAACGCCAGGGCTTGTGTCCGGTCGGTTGCTAGACTCCATGGCGTTTAGTGATTCTTCGTAAGTGGTATTATCTTGAGCACAGAGGCTCCGTTCACAGACGATATCACTTCTACTTCCCATGAACTGGTCCTCATTCTTGTTGGAAACGGGATGTTCGCGTTCTGCTTTTCTCTTTTTTTCCTCATCTTTCCATTTTTCAAATTTCCTCAGTAATGTAGACACCTCCATAATGAAGTATGCTCTTTTAGGCTCATAAAGCTTTTTCTCGGATTCTATAATGCCTCCCACTCCCATAACTCGGAGCCAATCGTGCCCTTGCAATGCATTTAGAAGCCGGTCAAGCTGTATCTTTTCGTGCTGCGCTCTCTCCTTTTCGATGTTCCTAAGCTGTTTCTCTTTCCTCTCAACTCTCTTGTGGGCCTTTGAGAAAATACAAGGGCTCAGTGGGTCACATTTCTCTCTCTCCATTACGATTAGCGACGTAACACCTTCAAATATTCGAGTGTGTTGAAGGTCGGAGAGGGGATTTCTTCTCTTTTCCAGGATATTGCACGGCCAAAGTGCATCATGCCGCCCATTTAAAACAGAACTTGTAAGCCCAACCCCAGCGAGATCGTCGAGAATAACGACCTTTGATCTGATTGAGAGGAATTCTAGGCCCGGTGAGTATAAATATTAGATATTTCAATACCAGGGCCATTGTTAAAAATATACAAAAGATCATAGGAGGCACGTTAAACTTGAATATATACTTACCCTCTTTGGTAGGTTCCAGACTAAGAATCTGTTCGTATTTTGGAAAATAGATAGATAGTTCGCTTCTGGCTTTCAGCAACCCATGATGAGATCGTAGCAAGCGCTTTTCTTTACGAGAAGTGGATCCAGATATCCTCTGGTCATTTGACTTGTTCTTGATGATGCCGAGAATTCCACCGGGGTCAGAAAATCGAGGGGGGGGGGAGAGGTTAGCAGGAGACATGTATCGTAGTTTGACTTCTGGCTGCTCGTGTGTTCCCATTCCGTCATTATTTAGATTTTAGCCTTAGACCGGTATATCAGGGGATTGGATACATCAGGCTGTACTGAATAGTATGAGAAGATATCAGGAATTTCCAAAATAAGAGGGTAGTTGCATGGAATTGGATTTTTAATTAGTGACGAAAAATGTGGTTACTATGGCAGTGTATAAGAAGCAAGTGGCCATAATGCATATTGATAGTAGAATCTGGAGTCTATTTGCCTCGTATGCTCAGACCTTCTCCCACATCTTCCACATTGGATGAGCCAGAAATGGGCTAGGCCCAATGGAGCATAGTGATATTATAAGCTTTGATGCTAGACTCTTATGAATAATTTTTAAAACATTCTGCTGAGTTGTTGGATTTATATATATATATATCATGCATCATCAACATGGAACACCATCAATTCTAAGTCAAATTTAATGAAAATATATTCATTAAAAAGCTCTTGATTCATTTGGTTATTCTCTCCATTTTTGCCTGGCAATTCACTGTGATGGGTGGGAAATCTCACATTAAAGACTGAGTTGCTAATTTTGACTACTCAAACACTTTGTCTGATCATTACATCACAATCACATTCACTACAGCTTTAAAAAGTTGAAAATCTGACATGGAACCTTCTGTACATATTTACTGAAGTAGCTTAGTTAGTAATTAGTCATTCTCAAGCTTATCATTGAAGCTTGAAGGAAGAACAATAGAACATCTTCTACTACACAATCAAAATTGCACAGACATTCTGTAGCTCAATTAGATCAGATAACAAACTGATAGCATGTCTTGCTTGATCAGAGACTTCAAGAACAGCTCAAAATTCTAAAAATCTTTACTAAATTACTCTCTAAATATAGCTAATGACAAATCAACTAAACTTGATGAAATAATGAAACTGGCAAATGAAACCAGATCAATTATTGAGTCTCTTCCAAATGCTGTATTGTAAATAGCTAAATATATACTTAACTATAGCTGAAGTAACTCTAGCTCTTGAGTAATTTCACTCAGCACTCAACATCTAGCAGAATTCATCACCAAAAATCATAAGATATCATTGCTGCAAAACCAAGTCTCCAACATTTACCAATCATGTATATCAAAAGAGAATTCTAAAGTGCTTTCACTGAACAGTTTATAACTAACTTAATTAAAATCAGAGTTCTCTGACATATTTTACTCTGCAGACTGAAATCTTGACCCATCTATAATCAGAACAGCAATTCATAAATTCATTCAGAACACAATGATAGTCACAAAACTACTCTCTTATATAGTCTCACTATCAAATAAACAAACCATAATGCATAAATTCTCAAGCATTTCATTAAGTAACTTGATCATGAACTCTTCATCTGAAAGTGGTAATTTAAGTGATCTCCCACCAATTGCCAACCAAATTCAGCAGAAACTACCCACTTCAATGACATATGATGAAGATTCACATCATCATCAGACTACAACTGCAACTCAACAATCTATCACAATTATGACATTTAAGAATCCAAATCTTCCAAATACTGACAATTCTTCAGAATCATTAATTAAAGCTCTAGAGAAATGTACAGCTCATACAAATAACATGAATATGCAACATATCATAGATGCAGTAACAGCCAATATGCACACAATTATACACTCAGAATTAGCAGTCTTACACAGAGAATCATTGTAAGGTGGCAGCCTATAAGATAGATGCTAAAGAACAATGTATCAAGTCTACAGTGTAAGAAAGATAACTAAGTTGCACTTATAGTATTAAAGTAGTATTGCTATATGTGCAGTAAGAGAAGAACTCATTGCTGATCTTCTGTGGAGAAAGATCAGTGTGGCTTTAAGTACTAGTGAGATTAGAGCTATGGTAACTAATAAGATACTAGCTCTTAGAGCAGATCTAGTCTGCAGTGAGCATGACAATTGTCTCTCTTTCTTGTAGACATTGTTCTTGAGGCTCTAAAATGTAGTATAGTGATATAATTAGACATCAGATTGTGCTGTTGATGTTCTAATTTTAAAATATTAAAGTGTATGATTAATAATTTGCAATAGTTGATGTGGGTGAAGCCTGTAGTGTTGTGGTGTTGAGATGTGATGTTGATGTTTTGTTGTGCTGATGCTGATTGAGTGTTGATGTTTTATTGTGCTGATGTTGATTGAATAATTAGTGACACTGCACTGCTAGTATTAGTGTGAGTGTTAGCATGATTAATAGTTGTGTAGTCATTAGTGTTAGTGTGGTGCTAATGTTTAGTGAATATCAATAACATCAGCACATAAGCTTTTTCTTCTTCTTTCTTCACTCAAGCATCACTGCATTATTACTGTTGTCATGTCTTGCCACTTCTTTCACTGTGCTGTCTCATTATTCATCATTCTTCACATTGTGTGAGTACTGAATTGATCTGTTTGCACTGCTTTAACATTCTTATTGATGCTAAGTGGTGTGATGGGGGTTTTGCTTTTGTGCATTGTGAATTGTTGATTCATAACATTAATGTGCAGTAGCATTTGCTACTGTTGTTTTGATTTTACTAATGACTTTTGACTTGTCTATGCTATTTACTGTTAGCATTAATCTTTTGTGATATATCTGCTTTTGCTTTTGTTTATGTTCTTTGTGGTGTTTTTGATGTCTTGATTTTTGGACTTGTGTGGACATTTGCTAATCAATTTTGATGTAGTCACACTCTGTGCTCCCACTGTCTCCCTCTGCTTGCCAACTCTGATGACTTGTGTGTTGTTATGTTGTGAGAATATCACATTCTCAAATATAATCAAATTTATATACTATATATTGTCTTATATAACATGTGTATAACATGTATAACTTCTATAACATTTACAGAGTCATATACATAAATCTTGATTAAATATAAAGTTTGATCTATAACCCTTTTTGGTTTAGTTCAAACCTTATTCTATAAAAGTTTATTTCAAACTTTATTTTCTAATAGAGTTACAGCAATAAGGTTACCACCATAGTATTGCTTGTATAAATTATTAATCAAGGAAAGAATAATAAATTGAGGTGGCAAATTACATCATAATATGATATTACATCATATAAAATGTCATCATATGTGACATCATCAATAACATTATAGAATTCAATGTTGCATAGTTTATTTCCAAGATTAATAAACTATTGCACATTATATTCAACTTTAACAAGTTTTATAATCAGTTATACCAACTTTCTATAAATCTACATTATAGATATTCTGGTTTATAGAAAGTATCAGCCACTGAAACCAGAATTTATAAAATGCCTCATATAATAATTCAGTTTTCTAAAAAGTATAACTACTTTTTACAAAACTATTGCAAGTATTGCACAATATACTGCATCATACTGCATCTTACATTACATCACACATGGTGTAACACTTATAAATCAAGACAAATATGCCATAACTTACATAACTCAAACTCTAAACTCACAGTCTATAAATAAGACCAAAATCCCCACTGCAAAATGTAATTAACAGAACAATTCAACAACTTCTTTGAATATTCATTGACTACTTCTTCTATACTATTGTTTTCTGAACTCTATTATCACTGTTCTCACCCTACTCATTCACCAAAACCTTATATATAACTATATACTTATATATTTATATATATTTATATAGTTATTAGTAAGTATATTCTACTAACTAAGCTTTTGTTGTATGAGCTTCTACTGCACATTGACTTGCTCACAGGTTATGAGCCCAGCTTATTAAACTTGTTAATCATGACTTCTCTTGAGAAAATTGGTTTAACAAAGCTTAAGAGTTCTGAGAACTATATATCTTGATCAATCAGAACTAAATCTGCTTTGATCAAAGAAGACTTATATTCTTCTATTGAAAATGAGTCTAATACTCAAAAAGGTCAAAAGGGCTTGGCACTTATCAATCTTCTATGTGAAGATGGACCTCTTCTCTATATTAAAGATATGCCCAATGCAAAAAGAGCTTGGGAAAAGTTGGAAGAGTTATATAACCCCAAAGGCTTTACTACAGAATTTCTCTTATTAAAAGAGCTATTCAATACTTCTCTGGAGGACTTTGACTGCATGGAAGAATACTTAAACAGAGTTAAGACTTTGGTGGATGACTTGAAGAGTAAAGAAATTGTTTTATCAAGTCAAGTTATTATTGCTTGGATTTTGAACTATTTGAATGCAGAATATGAGAATTTCATTGCAAATGTTATTCAAACTTTGAGAAAAGATTCTCATTCTTATACCATTGAGAACTTATTCTCTGATCTCATTGATGAGGCAAGAAGAAAAGAACAAAGCAATATTTTACATATCAATGGAAAAAAAAACAAAAAGAATTCAAAACATTCTTATAAAAAACTTTCAAATGGAAAATACTGTCAGTACTGCAAATTAACAAGTCATATGACTGACAAATGCTTCTTTCTCTTTCCAGATAAAGCTCCAAAGAATTGGAAAGTTCAGAAGAATAAAAAACAAAATTCACTCAACAAAAAACAACAAAACTCTTTTAAGAAGCAAAACAAAAAGCAAGAAGCTTTAATTACATCTTTATCTGATATAAATGCAACATCTTCTGATAATAATGATGTTGATTCAACCAATATCAACTTGGAACTTGAAAATAATACAAATAATAATCAACAAGTTGATTTACAAACTGAAGAAATTAATATGCTTCAAAATGAGAATTTCTATAACACCTACATGGATGAGGTATGTTTACCCATCAAGAACATTTCAAATATAAATGCAGTCACTAATATAATGTCAGGATTTTCACCTGATTTGAATAATATAAAAACAAACATTGAATTTGTGATTGACAGTGCTGCTACTATTAATACAATTTGTAACAAGAGTTATTTTCAATCTTTTGAACAAATTGATGCTACTGTTGGCTGGGGTAAAGCCAAAAAGCTCCATGTTAAATATCAAGAAAATGTTCTAATACAATTTGCATGTGGAATAAAATACTTAATACAAAATGTGTATTATATTCAAGAG